GTTGTTATTACCACTAGAATCTATACTTAACATTTGGATTTATGTTTGTGTGTAGAAGCGGATCCCAATTTTAACACACCCTAGCATGTCACTGATTCAGATGACATCAAGTCTACGCGGATCTCCTTCAGAAAAATTTTTTTTTCAAATGTGCCGATGTCTGGTTAATAGATAGCTATATGCATATGAGAATATGATAGTAAATTCTCCAGCCTGCTATAACTGATATCCCAAAAGGCTCAAAGGTTCCCCAGAGCCACATGCCGTACAGAGGGTGTGATGGGTGTATCACTGGAACCTGTTGTCTAGGTAAGAAAATAAATTCATCCTATTTGCAGCAACGATCCAATCTGTCTGTCTTAATTTGGAAATGAAAAACGGATCTTTCCTGGTTTAAATCTGCATTATGGAGAATTACTGCCATTGGTAGGTAATAGCGATTTTTGCTTTCAAGTGCGCTGTGTTTCGTTTCCACGGAATTTAAGACTTTTCTCTCAACTGGAGAGATTAAGCATTGTAACGTAGGGTGGTTGTTTCTAATCAAAGGAGTGTTTTGAAAGAGCTTAATACTGATAATTGAATGGCTTTATTCACCCATCTGGGATTTTTATACATAAACCATATACTAAATCGTGCAAGCATTCCATGCTTGGAAGTTGGCACAATAAATGTGTCCAGAATCTGTCCTGTATTTTTAAGACAAATTCATTGAGTATTGTTTAATTGTTGTATGCAATGGAATTGTAGCCATGTAGGTTGCTGGATATTAGATAGACAAGGTGGGTGAGGTAATATCTTTTACTGGACCAAGTTCTGTTGGTGAGAGAGACGAGCTTTTGAGCTTACACAGAGCTCTTCAACTCTGGGGAATCTTTCAACAAATGTGGAAAATGAATCCTCTCTCCTGGTTGTGAAAAGTACAAATGGAAACCAGAGAGAAAGATCAGTCTGAGTTGTCTCCTGCTTTAGTTTATTTTATACCGGTATTACCATACTGACTTCAGCAGAGTTAAGCCTGATTTACATGGTGTCAGTGAAGGGAGAATCAAGCCTCATAAATAATGCTTTTTCTTTTTAGAAATGTGGAATTGATGTTGGAGAGCAGGAAGGGAAGAAGAAATATGTTCCTTAATTATGCAAATAAGTAAAACTTGAAAACATTTTTGCTTGAATCAGACTCTGAACAGAAGCAACCTTTTGGTGTAATTTTATTGCTCCGATTAGCATAAAGTGTGTGGGAATCAATAGCATCAGGGGTTGGTGTTGAAACTGATTTAAAAGGTACCCAATTTAGGCTTAATACATTTTTGCCTATATTTATACATTTTCAGACAGAATTATTGTCACTTGTAGTTGCTGAAGATATATTTATGCCAGACAATAAACAGACAAGTGGTAGGGGCCCAAATCACCAAGGTCTGTGGTACTGGGAAACTTGCCTACACTTCATAATGGTCTTCTCAGTCTCAGGCCTGGTTCCTTCAGTTTCCCACCTGGTATTTCTCGGACTTCAGCCATTGTTAATTTGGTTTCTTATACCTTTCCACATTACATTTTAATTAGCTTCCCTCCGATCACCGTAACCCGTACAATACACATTCCCAAGCTTCTATGTACATATTTTTTGCTATCTACACTATTTTCATTTCATGTCTTCATGTCACCTTCTTTCTGTTTTTCCCAACATACGTACATATACCGTAATGTTTTGTGTATTTTTTGTACTCATTAACATCCTCTTATCTATATCCTCCAACACAATACAATCCATTAAAATAACCTTTGTCCCGTTTGTATCTTTGCATGTGCTTTTTTAGGTGCTCTTTTTAATTTAGGTTATTGGTATTGAAATTGTTCCCTTCAAAACATTCAGAAATATAATATTTCTGTGGGTGTTGCTTATTATACTTGATAGAATAAGGTGGCATTTTCCAATACTAGTTTCCTTTGCCAGTTCTTTAACATACAAATTATCTTACAACACATTATTAGAATTGCTGTAATTATTAACACATGTGTCCACAACTATATCTGAAAGACTGAGCTTGATAAGTTTATGGAGGGGATGGTATAATGAGACTGCCTACAATTGTATGTAGCCAATTAGTGACTGCTAGCAGCAAAGATCTCCAACGGCCGGTGATGGAAGACTAGATAGGGAGGGCTCTGAGTTACTGCAGAGAATTTTTTCCCAGGTATCTGCCTGGTGGGTCTTGCCCACATGTTCAGGGTCCAACTGATCACCATATTTGGGGTTGGGAAGGAATTTTTCTCCGGGTCAGATTGCCAGAGACCCTAGGGCAGTTTTCACCTTCCTTTGCAGCCTGGGGCATGGGTCACTTGCAGGTTTAAACTAGTGTAAAGGGTGCCTTCTCTGTAACTTGAAGTCTTTAAACCATGATCTGAGGAGTTCAGTAACTCAGCCAGAGATTAGGGGTATATTTCAGGAGTCGCTGGATGAGGTTCTGTGGCCTGCAACGTGGAGGATGTCAGACTAGGTCATTATGATGGTCTCTTCTGGTCTATGTGACTGTGGTGCCTGGAGGGGCCATGCTCAATCAGGGCAAACTGCAAATTATGGGGTAGACGATTCCCAAAACTGGTGGTTTATTCTAATAATTAGATTCACCAAGCCAGCAACAAAACAGCTACTACAACACCTTACTGGTTATCAAGAAACTAAAGCATAGATCTCCTGGCCTTCCTCCCAGACTGACAAGTCAAATATGATGAGAATTATTTTAAATCTTGTTCACTATATATAAAGTTATGCCAGTCCCACATCTCCCACCAGATCCATAAGTATTTCCGATCTTACCCAAATACACGCTTACAGCCAATTCTTATAAACTAAACTAAGATTTACCTAAAAAGAGAAGAGACAGTATTGTGGTTAAAAAATTGTTATACATACAGATATGGAGAAAGTTCTTAGGTCTGTTTCATAACAGAGATGGTGAGCTTGCTAATTTCTAGAAAGTATTAACAGAATCAATTCCATAAGTTATAGTCCAATAGGCCATCCACATGCAGCGTTTGTTCAAATCCTTCCATAAGAATTTGCAGGGACAGTCCAGGGTACCTGGAGACCTCAGTCTTGTGACTTAACTTTCTGCTGACGAAGCTTAAGCAGATCTGAGATGAAAAAAAGATCAGGTCCCAAAGTTCTTTTTTCTCTCTCTCACAGGTTAGGATAGTTTCTTGACAGCAGGTAACAGTGGGTATCCCTTGGAGGAAAAATAGGTAATACAAATTGTGGCTTTTGAAGCAATATTCCTATTTCTTATGTATACACAGGTCATTAGTTGCATCTATTAGCGTAAGGCAATTTACCAGTCAAATATTCACAGGTAGTTTACTATAAACTTCAAAGAGAAATAAAGGCAATGATATTATTGCACCCAAGTTTCACCTAATTGCTAATATTGCCTTTTGATCTGTGCATCAATAGAATATAGTAATGAAATATTATAGACGGGAACCGAAGCTTAGCATCTACATGCTAATTAGATAACTTTGTTAAACTCCCAACAGATATTGAGAAACATAGACAAATACAATTAGTATTAACTTCTAATTCTCTGACAATATAGGTTTGCATTTCAAAGGATTTAGTACATTTACATGGCTTTGATAACTATCGACAAGAAATGTTCCTGTAGGCCATTTCAGTACTTCTCTAATATGTTTTCAAAGGTTGATCTTGGGTCACTTAGCCTGCTGGTTGTTTAACCCTGGCTGGCCCAGTGTCTATGAAAACGAAATGCCAGAGTTATGTGCACTGGATCTCACCAGCGAACTGGTTTTAATACTTGGTCAATCTAATTAATTACTGTATTTAGTTTCTCTTTCATAGGGAATTAAATGATTTCTGTTTCCTTGTAACAACAAACTTTGGGCGCAAATTTCATTTAGCAATAGATACTGCAAAGTTAGGGAGCAACTACACAGAACCAGAGCTTTGCCAACTTTTTATTGCTACTGGTTCAAGACAGTTGGGTACAGTGCTGATTTACTATAATTTCACATTTACAGGCAAAAAACCAATTGGATTGTTTCTCAGCAGCATATTCCTCCATTTTGTTCTGCAGTAACGTTTGGGAGAATCAGTTTAGTTCTTATTTTCCCTGACTGAGAGAGCTGTGAAGTGAGCATGCTCGGCCCCTGCAGAGCAGCGAGGGCTAGATCCAAAAATAGGAGATCAGCTCAGCATTGCACAACCTAACTGCTAGGTGCCCTGCTGCCCCGTGGGATCCTCAGCCCTGTGTGAGCTGCCCAGGGTCCCTACACAATGCAGGGGGAGAGAGCGGCACGTAGAAATGGGATCCACAAAAGCCAGCAAGCTGAGTGGGGAGCTGGCTAGGCTAGCAGGAGGAAGTGCTGAGGAGAGGGGATGGTCAAAGCCCCTCACTCAAAGGTCATTAGGTACCTTAACTCCAGGGCGGAGGGAGGCTCCTATCTCTACTTGGGATGCTGAGTTGTCATCTCTCACCTGGAGCTGGGTCCCTAAGCCAGGGCAGCCCTTTTCCACAAAAAAACACGGAGGAGAAGGCCAATAGGCCAGTGATTAGAGCGCTGAGTGGGGTTGTGGGATACTGAAGTTCAAGTTCCCAAATTGTCTGATTTGTAGTTACCCAGGTAACTGCCCTCACCAGTGGGTTACTGGGTATTCTAGAGTGGGGCTCTGTTGTTGAAGCTTTTCCACTTTGGATGAAACAATTAAATATTCAGTTAGCCAGTGAGAGACTGACTCTATAGCCCTGTGGTGAGCTCACTTCCCTGGGAGACCCTTAAGTGCCTGCTGTAACTGTATGTTTGCTCAGTGTGTTTGTCAAGACACTGGGCCCAGTCCTGTTATTTTGGAAGTCAGTGGTAAACTTCCCTTTACACTCACTGGGCTCTTTCTGTAACATTCTCTTTATGTTCTTCCTAATGTTTGGCGCTATTATCTAAACTCATTGCTGTCATTTCATGGTTTGCATTTCCTGACTGATGGAGGCTGACAAGATCTGACCCTGGAAGTTGCACCCTTGATGTCCTGCTGGTATTTTGAAAGCCACTTTCCCAGATCCTGCTCAGTGATGGATTCCTTATTTCCTTCAGTGACAACTATTCAGTTACTGATTTTTCTACAAATACCCCACCTGGCTACAGGTAACGAGAATTCTGTGTCAGACAAATTTTAAGAGGCAATTAATCATTACATAGGAATGGAAAGAATCACTAGCACCAAAAGAGATGAGTTTAAGATCTGGAAAACACACCGTACAATGAGTGACTTCAGGAGCTCAATCTATTTCGCTTTATGAAAATAGGGTTAAGAAATTACTTAACCATGATCCATAAATATCTAAGTAACGCAGGGAGATTTGTGATAGCAAACGGCATTTTAGTATTGAAAGCCAGAACAGTATCCAGCAGCTGGAAGTCGAACGTAGAACATTCAAACTAGAAATAAGATGTGAATCTGTAACTGTGAGGGTGACTAATCACTAGAACTAGGGGCTGTGGTGGATTCTTCATCACTTGAAATTTTTATGTCAGGATTTGGCATCTTTATAAAATGAGATGCACAAGATACTTGGCTTGATTTAGGCCTGGATTACACAGGAGGTCAGACTAAATGGTCTGACCTTAACAGCTATGGGCCTATATATTTTGTTTTATTGTTCAGAATAGGAGTTTTCATTTCAGAAAATGAGAGTCTAACTTTTTTTATTTTCAGAGAAATTATTCTGTTTAATGTGTTTAAACTAATCAATCAATAGGAGAAGGTCATTCCACTAGGAATTATTGCTGATTAGATACTGAGGGACTGTCAGATTGGATTTAAAGTAACAATAATTAACTAAAAAAATATAAACAGTAAGTCTTAAGTGTTGGAAGATAATTAGAACTTCAGATATCTGCATCCCTGATTTCAGTCCAGTGTTGGCCAACAGAGACCAAAAGTTGCTATGAGAATTTTATGGTGTGTGTTCTCCGCAGTTTAATAACAATTTAACCATGGTATGGCTTAAGCTGGATCGTGCAGGCATTCTGCACTTGGAATGCCTTCTGGAGATGGAATAACAGCAGGAAAAGATGCATTGTCTGATACAGTATCCAAACACCTATCACTCTGCACCTTGCTCGCACCAATATTTATTATCCTTCAAAATGCATCTGCATGTTTGTGTGTGTAAGTAAATGGTGGAGATAGATAGATAGATAGATAGATAGATAGATAGATAGATAGATAGATAGATAGATAGATAATGTGGCCCTTCATATTTTGATAGGAAAAATGTGGAAGATAAATAGAAACATATTTTCTGTCTTTAAACATTTAAAATGTTATTGACCTTTAAATAATCATAAATTGCTAAAATAAATCAGAGCAGAGGGGTAATCTCACTGTTCAGCCCCATTAAACAAGGGACACATGTTCCTGACTCCCAGGTTGCGGGATAATTTCTATTATATTTAGTGTGATATGAAAAGAGAAAGAGCACTGACCGGAATGGTGGGACATAGATTGGAACTGTTTTCACATTTGAGTGGAATCTTCTAGCTGTCTCCCTATGGGTTTGGATAGGGATCCCCATAGTAATTCACATCTGCATTCCATAGAGAACAACCCAAAGCATATTACAAAGATGTACCTGTGTCTCCATACAGGCCAGTTTACAATCCATACCCCTGATAATATTGTCATTGGAGTCGTTGGAGAAGATGCTATCCTGCCTTGCTACCTGTCATCTCCAAGGGTCCCTCTGAGCACTGGTATCCAGTGGACACTTGCAAGACCTCTGGAGAGAATAGAAGTGACCTTCTATAATGGAGGAACACAAACAGAAAGGCAGGGTGAGGGATACCAGGGCCGAACGGAGTTCTTCACATCTCAGCTGAGCAAAGGAAACCTCTCCCTGAAGCTGAAGAACATCCAGGTCACCGACAAAGGGAAATATGCCTGCCAGGTTGATGTCTCAGACTGGCATGGAGAAGCCTACATTGAACTGGATGTGATAGGTCAGTGAAACAACTTCTTGGTTTACACCAAGGTAATCATGAATCTTCTACTGTCTGGAAATGGGAGACTGAGAAAGGACAAATCCATCCCAGGGCCAACTCCTGTGAAGTCAGTAGGATTGTAACAGGGGTGATTTTGGAGCTGGGTGTCCTAGTGATTAAAGCAGCAGGATTATTTACTGAGTCAAATCCCCATGGGAAATGCAACTGACAGGTCTGGGGTACAAAACATAAATAAATGTGTCACTCATTCCTGAGGGCCTGCTCTACAGCTGGGGCCTGAATCAAGTGAAATCTGGCAGGCGATTCCACCTCTCTCTTAAATGACTCTGTCTCTGAAAGAAACGCCCCACAGAGTCGCCCACCGCAAAGGGGTGGGAGGGGAGAAGAGCGGGTGTTTGTCCCAGCCCCTGTCTGAGTGGGCCCCCAAAGCAAGTGGCGTTGCACAGTGGTGCACAGGGTCGCAACGCCGCTCCCATTTGGCTCGGCCTGCCCTCCCTCATGATAGGGCGCATGACTAGGGCCAGTCATGCTCTGACCTTGCACGTGGGGTTACTGCGCTGCTCACTCAGGTTTGGCCCAGCTGCCCCTGCATCATGAGGGATGGCTGCACCAAACCAGACTGGCACTGCTAACCCGCACACCACTTCACACAGCCTGGAGTCAGGATCCAGGCCCAGCCCCATGGGACAGGAACCAGCAGTAGTGTGGGGTGGGCTCACTCTCCAAACTCCACCACCACTGGGGCCTCCCCTCAGTGTTTTTGCACCCTTGGTAATTTCTTTGGAATGGGGAGTGGCTCAATTTCATATTTAGTTACAGGCCCCAAAAAATCTCTGTGCAGCCCTGCCCCCTCCTTATGCCATCTACTACCTCCTGCTGCTCCTTGAGCCCTTGGGAGTCAAGAACCTTCCTCTCACTCCCCTGCTGCCCTCTGACTCCATGAATGGGTCCCCAGGCAGTGAGGATGCCCTGCCCCACTCCCTGCTGCTCCCCATAAGCCCCTGCCAGTATCAGGAAGTTCATCAGTTCTCCACTGTGAGTCTGGGATGCTCATCAGCGTCCCCGTTTAGGAATTGTGTGGGACGCTCCCTATTATGAGCCTTGTGGGGCTCTTTGAGAACATCCCAAATTCACACCCCTTGTGAGCCTTGGTAGGAGCAATTCAGAGCAGAGTCCCCCCACCTCACCCTCTTTAGCCTCCAGAGTGTGAAGAGACTCCTAAGTGTATGGAGAGAAAAAAGCACTGCATGCACTGAATGAGTCCTGTGGGGAAAACAGTATATAGTTGTGTGATTAATCATGTGTATGCACCGAGGTCAGAGTTAGGGGTGCATTGGAAACCTTCATTCTTGTATTGCCTAAATTTTGCATACTTGACTTAGTACCCGTAGCATTCTTTTAACATAGGTTGTTTTTCTCCCTGAGTATTATGTATTTCTAGCTTCACATAGAATTCTCTACAGTGCAGAGTGGGAAGTGTACCCCTAGGGGTATTTTATAGGCAACTATCTGACACACAGAACATGTGTATTGCTCTCTCCTGACAGCTCCCTATAGAATCCTTCCTAGCAACCCTGTTATTGGAGTCATTGGAGCAGATGTTATCCTTCCATGCCAGCTCTCAGTCACTAAGTTACCTGGAAGCTTCAAAGTGCAGTGGAAGCTGTTTAGACCAGCAGTATTAATCCATGAGGTCTCCTATAATGGAGGAAACCAGACAGAAACCCAAGGGGAGAGACATCTGGGTCGAACGGAGCTGTCCATCACTGAAATGACTCAGGGAAACTTGTCACTGAAACTCAAGCATGTCCAGATCTCTGACAAAGCAGAATATGTCTGCAGCCTGGATTCTGGGAGCTGGTATGATGAGATGGTGGTTGAACTGGATGTGACAGGTTAGTGAACCAGCTTCTTGGTTTATGACAAGTAATGTTTTAGGAAATATTTTCTCTCCAAATGAACAGTGAAAGAGGAAGGAAAGAAGGAAAAACTTGAGCTATGCTACCACTTCCAAGTATATATTAGTAACTGTCTAAGTTATATTTTACTGGTTCATAGGATGCCTAGTTTTGTCGACAATTATGAGAGTTTCTGTATGTATGGTGTTAATGAACTATTAAATAATCTGGTATTACTATGAAGTTTGGATACATAGCCAAATTTACTGTTGGGTCTTAATAATTGTGCTCTAATTACATGATAGCAATATTCATTTTCTGAGCTTTTTCTCTAGAAACTTGAGTTTCTGACGGACCTATATCGTAATGTCAGGTCAGGTCTATTTACATACATATTTTAGACCAATGGAACAAACCTTCCTGTTCGTTTACACCAATATTGATGCTTTCTATTTGCAACATTTTATATTTTTTCTATTTGCCAATAGGCAAAAAAAGACACATTAGAACCTTAGTATACAAAGTCAGCTCCATCCCTAATACTAGGTATATTTCACATTCTGATTTATATCAAAACTAAAGAATTTATAATTATTTATTTCATACATATGTCATAGAATCATAGAATATTAGGGTTGGAAGAGACCTCAGGAAGTCATCTAGTCCAATCCCCTGCTCAAAGCAGGACCAACACCCAACTAAATCATCCCAGCCAGGGCTTTGTCAAGACAGGCTTTAAAAACCTCTAAGGATGGAGATTCCACCACCTCCCTATGTAATCTATTCCAGTGCTTTACCACCCTCCTAGTGAAATAGTGTTTCCTAATATCCAACCTAGACCTCCCCCACCGCAACTTGACACCATTGCTTCTTGTCCTGTCATCTGCCACCACTGAGATCAGTCTAGCTCCATCCTCTTTGGAACCCCCCTTCAGGTAGTTGAAGGCTGCTATCAAATTCTGCCTCATTCTTCTCTTCTGCAGGCTAAATAAGCCAACTTCCATCAGCCTCTCCTCGTAAATCATGGGCCCCAGCCCCCTAATGATTTTTGTTGCCCTCTGCTGGACTTTCTCCAATTTGTCTACATCCTTTCTGTAGTGGGGGGACCAAAACTGGATGCAATACTCCAGGTGTGGCCTCACCAGTGCCAAATAGAGGGGAATAATCACTTCCCTCGATCTGCTGACAATGCTCCTACTAATACAGCCCAATATACCATTGGCCGTCTTGGCAACAAGGGCACACTATTGACTCATATCCAGCTTCTCATCCACTGTAATCCCCAGGTCCTTTCCTGCAGAACTGCTACTTAGCCAGTCAGTCCCCAGTCTGTAGCGGTGCATGGGATTCTTCCTTCCTAAGTGCAGAACTCTGCACTTGTCCTTGTTGAACCTCATCAGATTTCTTTTGGCCCAATCCTCCAATTTGTCTAGGTCACTCTGGACCCTATCCCTACCCTCCAGCGTATCTACCTCTCCTCCCAGCTTAGTGTCATCTGCAGATACTGGCTCATCGAGCCGTTGATCAATACCCATTGAGCCTGACAATCTAGCCAGCTTTCTATCCACCTTATAGTACATTCATCCAATCCATACTTCTTTAATTTGCTGGCAAGAATACTGTGGGAGACCGTATCAAAAGCTTTGCTGAAGTCAAGATATATCACATCCACCACTTTCCCCATATCCACAGAGCTAGTTATCTCATCATAGAAGGCAATCAGGTTAGTCAGGCATGACTTGTCCTTGGTGAATCCAAGTTGACTGTTCCTAATCACCTTCCTCCCCTCCAAGTTCTTCAAAATGAATTCCCTTGAGGACTTGCTCCATGATTTTGCCAGAGACTGAGGTGAGTTCTGTAGTTCCCTGGGTTCTCTTTCTTCCCTTTTTTAAATATGGGCACTATATTTGCCTTTTTCCAATAGTCCGGGACTTCCCCCGATCACCACAAATTTTCAAAGATAATGGTCAATGGCTCTGCAATCACATCAGCAAACTCCCTCAGCACCCTTGTATGCATTAGATCTGGACCTATGGACTTGTGCATGTCCAACTTTTCTAAATAGTCCTTAACCTGTTCTTTCACCACTGAGGGCTGCTAACCTCCTCCCCATACTGTGTTGCCCAGTGCAGCAGTCTGGGAGCTGACCTTGTCTGTGCAGACCAAGGCAAAAAAAGCATTGAGTACTTTAGCTTTTTCCACATCATCTGTCTCTAGGTTGCCTCCCCCATTCAGTAAGGGGTCCAGACTTTCCCTGACCTTCTTCTTGTTGCTAACATACCTGTAGAAACCCTTCTTATTACCCTTCACATACCCTCCACATAGCTGCAACTCCAGTTGTGCCTTGGCCTTCCTGATTACACCCCTGCTTGCTGTATCAATATTTTTATACTCCTCCCCAGTCATCTGTCCAAATTTCCACTTTTTGTAAGCTTTCTTTTTGAGTTTAAGTTCACCAAAGATTTCACTATTAAGCCAAGCTGGTCACCTGCCATATTTGCTATTCTTTCTGCACATCAGGATGGTTTGTTCCCGCACCCTCAATAAAGCTTCTTTAAAATACAGCAAGCTCTCCTGGACTCCTTTCCCCCTCATATTAGCTTCCCAGGGGATCCTGCCCATCAGTTCCCTAAGGGAGTCTAAGTCTGCTTTTCGGAAGTCCAGGGTCCGTATTTTGCTACTCTCCTTTCTTCCTTTTGTCAGGATCCTGAACTCAACCATCTCATGGTCATTGCTGCCTAGGTTGCCACCCATTTCTACTTCCCCTACCAATTCTTCCCTGGTTGAAAGGAGCAGGTCAAGAGAAGCCTGGCCCCTGGTAGGTTCCTCCAGCACTTGTACCAGGAATTTGTCCCCAACACTCTCCAAAAACAGACTGCTCCCTTGAGACAGACAAGCACAGTTCAACCCACCTTTCTCTGCACTGGCTATCTGCAGACTAACTTTGCTAGACCCAGATCACAGACTAATTACACGGCCCCCTAGCCTCCAGCACTTGTACCAGGAAGTTGTCCCCAACACTATCCAAAAACTTCCTGGATTATCTGTTCTTTGCTCTCCCAGCAGATGTCAGGGTGATTGAAGTCCCCCATTAGAACCAGGGCCTGTGATCTGGAAACTTCACTTAGTTGTCCAAAGAAAGCCTCATCTACCTCATCCTTCTGATCCAGTTGTCTGTAGCACACGCCCACCATGATATCACCCTTGTTGCTCTTGCCTCTAAACTTAACCCAAAGACTCTCAACAGGCTTTTCTCCAGTTTCAAACTGGAGCTCAGAGCAATCATACTGCTCTCTTACATACAGTGCAACTCCTTCATCTTTCCTCCCGTAACTGTCCTTCCTGCACCTAAGATAACTAGCAGATTGCCCTACTTTCTCAATATGAATCAGGAGGCTTCCCATCTTGTACCCTCCTTCTTGTGTTTCCACCCGGTATCCCACTCCCCCACTTACCTCTGGGTTTAGGTCACCATCCCCCAGCAAATCTAGTTTAAAGCCCTCCTCACTAGGTTAGCAAGTACTTTTATGTGTTAATTAAATTATACATAATACATTTTTCATTCTTAAAGAAGTAAATGAAGTTTAGTTTTATAAGCAAGTAACTATGGATATTTCAAGTTTTCCAAAAAAATCATTTTTTTCCCAAATAAAACATGTTTTTTTCCCCCCATGCCTTTAAAATTTCCAGAAATTTTACATCCATATCATCCACCAGTGTGAGGCTGAGGGGGCCAAGTCCATCTCTGGGATGACTCCACTGAAGCCAATGGAATTCAATTCAGTTCAGTTTGGACCCTGCTGGCTGGGTGCTGGAGGTAGCAGGTTTCTTTACTGAGTCACGTTCCCATTCGAAATGTAGCCTCATATATCTAGGGCACAAAGACCCAAACATAACAAAATCCAAACCTCCAAAACAAAGAAACAACAACACCCCCAAACTCTGTGACAGAAATTCTTTCTGCTGAGGAATAAATCAGGCCATATCTGGCTATTGCTCACAGAGCCACGTGCATGGGCTTTTGTAGTTAAGATTCTCCTCAAAGAGAAGTTAGATAAAAGCAAAATATACTCTTGCTTTATTTCTTGGAATCTAGAACCGACATACAAGAACCTAAAACGGAGAGAGACAAAACAGGTTGTTCCCTTAAGGCAGATAGGCACAGTTCACCCCATCTTCCTCTACACTGGCTATCTGCAGACTAACTTCGGCTAGACCCAGATCACACGCTAATTACAGGGCCCCCTAGCCTGCAAGCAGGACCAAAACCCCCTCATATTTAAAGTGATAGCTTGTAATTTTAACAGTTTTCAATATTCCCACACTTCTCATGCCCTTGCAGCCCCTGGCCTGATGCAGAAGGGTCTCCCTCACTCATAGCCCTGACCTCCGCTCCAAGAAGCCTTAAAGAGCTCCACAGTCCCAGTCCTCTTGCTCCATCTTGCCTCACAAACCCCTGTGAGCCTTGCAAGGGGTGAGTCACAGCCCCCGTTCCACCAGCTTTCAGAGGCTCAGCTGGTTGAGACGGCTCCTAAGGGCAGCAAGTGCAGTGTAGGTCCCATATGGAACGACACAGGGTCTCTACAGGGGGCTGTTCTGAACAGAGACCCTGTGTATCGATATCCCTACTACTGCTGGACACAAACCTGCTGGTGAATTGATTCTTTTGCCAAAAAACAAACAAACAAACAAACTTTTTCCAGAAACTATTCACTGACCCACATTCAGCAAATAGCTTTGTTTGGGAATTTTTCTTTTCAAGAGTATTGAAACATTTCATTCTGAACTTTGTGTTTTTAAACTCTTCTTTTCAAATTTTCGATTTGAAACTGCATTTCAATTTTAAATTTCTAAATCTCAGCAGTGTTTTTGTCTGTGTGTGTGCGTGCATGCGTGTGTGTGAAAACTGAAAATTGTGGGTGAAAATTGAAAAACTGCAACAAAAAAAAAATGTTTTGGGTCGACTCACAACATTTAGGTAGATTCAAAACTACTTATTTTATTTTATTTTATTTTATTTTATTTTATTTTATTTTATTAGTTTTTCTCACTGACGAATAAAGTGGAAAAAAAAATGTTGAGTTTCAAATTAAAACATTTTCTGGGGTGGTTTTGCTCTTCAGCTCCAAGAACCAAAAATTCCTTTATTCGCACAGCTCTAATCTCCACACAGGCCGATTCAAAATCTTTCCCCCAAGTAACCCTGTTATCAGGGCAATTGGAGAGGACGTGGTCCTGCCCTGCCAGCTGTCAGCCACCATTATCCCTGCAAGTATCACTGTCCAATGGATCCTCATCCAGCCCTCTAGGAAACCAGTCAAAATCTTCAACAACGGAAGGTTCATTGAGGACCGGCAGGATGAGAGAGCCTGGGGTGGTATGGAGCTCTTCAGCACTGAGTGGACGAAGGGGAACATGTCTCTAAAGCTGAACAATGTCCAGCTCCCAGACAGAGGGAAATATGTCTGCAGTGTGGCAGCTGGGGACTGGTACGACAAGGTGGCCATTGAGCTGGAGGTGACAGGTCAGTGCCTTCTTTTCGTTCAGTGCAGTAATGTCGAGTCTGTTACTGCCCTGCAATGTGAGGCTTGAGGAGAGAGAGAGAAAGGTGCCAGACCCACCCCTGGAGTACGCCACTGATTCTGATGGAATTATAATGAGGAGGGACTGGGAGCAGGGTGTCTAGGTCATACAAGTAGCAGGTCTGTCTATTCAGTCATGTAGTTATGTGAAATGCACCTAAAACACAGAGAAAAAATGTTACATCTTCATAGCTGGGTTGTTCAAGAACTCAATTCATCCATTGACCTGGCTACTGCCTCTCAGGGAGGTGGATTAGCTGTGCCTTCCATTGGCATAGATAGTATCTACACTGAAGCGATACAGCAGTTGTGCCACTGTAGCATTTCAAGTGTAGACAAGACCTTAGCTAGCTCTTCCTCCCTCTGGCCTCTTCTAGCCTCACTCCTTCACCAGCCCCTGGGATCCGTCTTTGAGATGTTGGATACTCACTCTCTGTCTAGGGTAGCTATCTGTGGAACAGGGCGGGAAACAGTTTTCCCCATCTCATTAAAAAAAATTGTTGTTATGAATCTGGATAACAGGCAAAACCTTGAAAAATTTTGTGAACTAAAAATTAAACAAAAACAAACAAACAAACAAACAAACAAACAACCTATCAATGAAAAGGGTTTTGGGGTTTTTTTTTTTTTTGCCAATTTCAAAATATTTTGTTTCCATTTCAAAGATTGAAATTTCTATCTATCTATCTATCTGTCTATCTATCTATCTATCTATCTATCTATCTATCTAATTAGCTAAATTTCAGACTAAAAAGTGGACAGCAACACTGGAATTTTTCATTTAGAAAATGTCAAAATGAAACATTTTGACAATTTCAAAACTTTTTTTCTTCCCCAGAAAATTTGTCAAGACTTGACCCTTTAATGCAAAAAGTTTTAATTTTGATGAACTGGCATTTTCTGAGGGAAAAAAAAATGTTTTGTCAAACAATCTGGCCTCCATCACCATAGTATCTGAGCACCACCCACCCATTCTTGCTTTTATCCTCACCATCTTTTATGAGCCCAGAGCTATCACGGTAACCTCTGGACCATCTTTCTTCTCAGTGACATCCCTCCATGTGTCCCTTAACAGAGGCTAATTGAAGACCCCCAAGCAATTCCACCAACTGCCACCATGATCAATGAATGGAGCTGCCAAGTTTTGTGCAGCTCCATGTTTGGAACTTTATGCAAATTATTGAATGGAATAATCTTCTATTTGTGGATAATCTGCATATTTATATAACTTCTGCTTAAAAAAAGAGTTGTGACTTTCATTGGGAATCAGGCAGCAGTATTATCAGGGAAAGGCGTTGGTCTGTCTGAGCCTTATGGAGGAGGGCTTCCCCTCAGGGCAGGGGAGGAACCAAAGTGACACAGAGACCATCACAAAGGGACAAAGCAAGAGGGAACCAGAAGGGGTTAGAGGGAACCAGAAGGGAACAACAAGCAGAGAACCTTTGGCGGCACCCACTGCCCTGGGCAGCCGATGAGGGACACATTGGCATTGCTAACAGGAGCTATGGCTGGACATGTGTGAGTGTTTAATGCTAGGAAACCTGACCCATGCTCCTGGACTGATGCACAGCCATCAGGAGGCGCTTCATAGGGAAGTCTCTGGAGTTGGTGCAGCCCCAGATGGTATGCACAGCAATGGAAGTGGTGTGGAAAAGCACAGCCAAACTCCAAGTGCTGTAGCCTGGTGCACTGTAGAGAAATACATGCTGGAGTTTTCTTCTCATTGCAAGAGGAACACACACCAGAGGAGCTGGTGAACTATGCCAGCAGCACACAAACATTCAGAGCCCCCACCAGTTGATTTTTCTGGTAGACGGGCATCTTTCCCCACAAATCTTCATTCTCAGATAGCCGCAGGTACAGCTTTTCATACCTGACCATATGCTATTTTTTCCCTCCACTTGCTGCACATAGGATTTGAACCTAGTGCCTCCTAATGCACAGCACAGACTTGACCTGCTTGAGTTATGGGCAGTTGGGTATCAGACATCCAAGCTTTTAGTCCTGGGTCTAGGGGGACAGTGCTATTACGTGGCTAGAGCCAGCCCATCCAAACACATAACTTGCCATGTCCTTTCTGACAGGCCGTGTAGCATAGGGGTTGAGCCTTAGTTTTCCCTGGTTAAAGCCTGGGGTTCTGTCCCTATATCAGCCATACATGACTTTGTATAAATTACCTTACCTGTCTAATGAGCTAGAGTTTGCTGCCTCCACTGGGTTGGACCTTGGTTAATAACAAGGGTTATGAACTGTGCAGGTGCACTAGCAGTGGTTACTGCAAGAGCTCAGGCTAGAACTCATGGTGACATGCCTCACAGCTCCTTAAGCCATGGGCACTTTCTCAGGAAAAGGTCTCTCTGGTCAGCATGTGCTACATTGAGGTTAGGTATGTGAGATGGTAATTGACAAGTCTGAATTAAAGCCTGGGGAAGCTCCCTAGCTCAGGGAGTGGAGAGCGCTCTGATGTGCATCCACACAAATATTCCATACGGAGCTCTGTGAACAGAGGGTTATGTGTTTTTATGCAGCTAAAGTACCAAGCATTCGCCCTCCTTATCGTGTTACTGGAGCTGTCGGAGAAGACATTATCTTGGGCTGCATGCCACCAGGGTCCCCGCAAATGTCTCAGTCAAGTGGCTGCTCTTTAGAGCCTCAGAATTAATTCACGTGAGCTCCTATAATGGAAGCGTAGAAGCAGAGAGAACTGAACTGAGTAAGGGGGGCATATCTCTGAAGCTCAAGGACATCCAGTTCTCAGATGCAGGGATATAGTTCTGCTGCATGTCTGCCGATGGCTGGTATGAGGAGCTGGCCTTTGAACTGAAGGTGGCATGTCAGTAAAACACCGCCTTGTTTTATGCCAGGCGAACAAATAGACTCACCTGAATACAGATACAAGAAATAAAATACTGCAATATACTTCTTCTCTCTGACATTATATAGCCGCAGCTCTAAAGGGTCAGACTTAAGGTCCTGTTATCTGGGCTTTGCGGCAATGGCTTATTTAAGACTTATTATCGTTGTTTATTATTAAGACACTAAAATAGCACCTAGAGGCCTCAACTGAGATCAAGGCCATATTACTCTAAGTACTAACCCTTAAGTCTGACTGTCCAGAGTTTCTGTTAATTTTTAACTCTATTGTCCTGGAATGCTGATACACATTTACAGCACTGTGACACACCTGCAACCTTATCATCACCTTCACAAAGTGTTCTGTGTGTGGATTTTTAATAGCTCCCTCTCCACCCTGCTACACAGGACCCCAGCTCTGCAAAAGAAGGAAGACCTGGTTCAGCAGAAGCTATGTGGATAACAGAGAGAGAATGGCACTTTCTTCTGCTGGCCATTAAAGGCTAGATCCACAAAGGGGACTTGGACTCAGCTTTGCAGAACCTACCTCCTAGGTGTCTTACAACTTAGCGGAATCCATAAGCCCAAGTTAGGCACCAGGCCGCTACGCAGGCAGGGGGAGAGTTAGGCGCCTAAGAATGGGATCCACAAAACTCAGCAGGTTCAGTGGGGAGCTGCCTAAGCTACTCAGTGGGAGACACCAAGGAGAGGGGTTTGTTCTACCCATCAAAGGGAGTTGGTGCCTCAGCTGGGTCAGCAGAGGACATAATTCCTCTCCTTCAACCTATGGGATGGCCGGCTCCAGGGCTCCCTCACTCTCTGCTGTTGAAGCTGTTCTACTGTGTATAAATAATTAAATAGCCATTGGACCATGCACTTGAATTCTGGGGGTCCCATATTGTGACTGAGTGTGCTAACCCATCACAACCATCTCTTCCTCTGCCTGTTTTTAGTTCAGGGCCTGATCCTGTAGGTGTGTTCTGGTGGGATAGGTGGGGGAAAACCAGATTTGAGGATCATGCTGGGACCTGGACATGAGTTAGGTGCTGGGCACCAGAGCTGAGATGGGTGTGCAAATGCTCACAACCAGAAATGTAGGCGCCTAGGATACTTCATCAGCAGACATGTAAATACCTGAGGAGAATTCCGTCACCTACAGGGTTAGGCAGTGGCTCAGTGCGGGTTTTGAGGCTCTAGATTTTGGAGTCAGGAGCCTAAAGTGCCAGTAAAGCCCCTAAATCGCTATGTTGATCTAGCGCTGAGACTTTCTGTAAGCGCAGTCCCCACCTATCTGCCTGTGGAAGGGAAACCTGATGCTGCTGCCCTCCTAGGAACCAAGAATGCATGTCAAACTCACAGGATGAGAGACTCTATCCTAGGAAGCAATAACTCAGATAAAGATTTGGGGGTTGTGGTGGATAATCCACTAAACATGAGCTTCTAGTTGTACTCTGTGACCAAAAGGCCTAATGTGGTCCTGGAATGGATAAACAGGTGAATCTGGAGTATTATAAATGGGGTCAGCATAGATCAGTGGTTCTCAACCTTACCAGACTACTGTACCCCTTCCAGGAATCTGATTTGTCTTGCGTACTCCAAATTTCACCTCACTTAAAAGCTACTTGCTTACAAAATCAGACATAAAAATACAAGTGTCACAGCACACTATTGCTGAAACATTGCCTACTTTCTCATTTTTGCCATATAATTATAAAATAAATTGATTGGAAAATAAATATTGTACTTACATTTCAGTGTGACGCTTGAGCCTGTATTTCACTTGTGAGCCTTGTCTGATTCCCGAACCCCAGCCAATAGGGCTGAAATATGTAACTTAGCTTTGTGGGACCTGGGCAATTGCCCTGCCTGCCATCCCCTAATGCTAGCCCTGCGCTTGCAATCCCCCTAAACCCATCCCAAGACCCCCCCGGGGGTTGCAACCTCCAGGTTGAGAAACACTAATTTGGATGAGGTGAGTACACTCTGGAAGGCCTATGCATAATCCAAGGGTACGTGTCCCTGGGTGAGAACCACTGGAATCAATGATCAAATGATCCCTTCTGGCCTTGGAATCTATGGATCTATGATC